TAATCTCTCTTAAGTGATATAAAAATTGCGTCAGAAAAGCACATGTTCAATTCACACTCGGTGAACCATACAATCAACCGAACAAACGACCGATATTATTATACTAAAAGAGAAAAAAATATAAAGAATGACGATATAAAGGCGATAAGTCTTGGCCGATATTATTTATAAAGTATCGAGTTCACTTTTCACTTTATTCGGTGCAATGTTGCACGGGTTGCGTCATGAAAACTGATGTCCGATTTCGCGAAAAAAAAAAAGGGAAAAAAAGTAAATTAAATACACGTATCAGACTGCAAGAATAATATAACAATTCCAAATAACCTTGAAATCTTCTCAGACACGTGTTCATAGACAAAATTCATATCGATAATCCATAATAATCATATGAATTAAAGAAGATACAGCGCAATTTTGTAATCCTCATTTGCTTATGTTTGCTAACTCGTTCTTCTCGATAGTCCAAGAAGATAATCCCGCCAGGCGGCGTTCTATCGTAACTTAACGTTTAAAAATGTTCTTAAATAGAGAAAGAAATATAAATGGATACAAAAAGATAACAGAATATCCATACGTTGTATCTGTTTTTGAAACGATAGTTTACACACAGGGCCGCGCTTACCATAAGGCGCATTGGACGCAAGCTGGGGCCTCACTCTCTATGGGGTCGCGTTTTAAAGCCTTAGTTCTCACGAACAATGATATACAAAAATAGCCTAGTTACAGTTGCAAAATAGAATACTTATTTCTAAATATTAAATTTATAATACAAAAACGCTGAAAACGAAAACGTCAAATTTATTTAATTTAAAACGCCAAAATTTATTTAAAACTTGTTTCTTTTAGGCGTCGCAATGATGTTGCGCCTAGGACCTCCAAAAGTATCAATTCGGCCCTGGTTACACAAGTATACATAAATAAGTATTCGACCCAAGCGTAATAAAGTGAAGCATTTCAGAAATTGTACAATGTGACGAAATAAGCACACATTCCATATATGTGTATTATAATAAAGGATAAGAATGAAACGTTTGTAGCTCGTTTTCAATTTCATTCGTGTATTAACTTGAGCGTTACAACTTTAAC